TGTATATGTATATATATATATATGCAGCACATATTATATACAAGATATATATATATATATGTATATATGATACATCCATGGATGATCATAGATGGTTGGTTCATGGTTTGTTTAATTCAAAACAGTGGAGGGGTTGGGCAGACCGTCAGGACTGTGGAGTGAAATGCATTCAGAAACAGTATGATGAAATGGCAATCGCTGCCGTAAAGTTGGGAACCCCAGGGAGCACCAGGGACTGGTTGCCCAGGGGGTGGGTTGTACGGCTGTACCCTGCGATTAGAGAAGTGACAGCAGCAGAGCCATCTCATGTCATTCTCTGTATTCTTAAAATCACCCTCATCCTCATGCTGTAACAACGGGTCTGAATCTGCAAGTGTACTGAAGATAGCTGCTAGCTTGTAAATAATCAGAATTTATATATTGCTTCAGTGGACTTCATAAAGCTCCTTCCATCCGGGTGGTTGTTGCTTTGCCATTGCTGGTTTGAAGAGAGACATATCACATCCTCCAGCCGTTGGCGACGTTTCGGATTGGTGTCAAACAAGTCAATCTGTAGGTCCCATCTAGTCGTGATCAAGCACTCCTCTGGCAAAAATGATGGGTCAAGACATGTAAAGACATATGAGTGTCCATCATTTTCCATCTTTTTCCATATTTTTTCCATATACCACCCAACTATTTGGGAAAGCTTTTGGGTCGGAATCCCCAGGGTTTTTCCTGGTTTTTCCGGCAGCGACTTGTCAGGAATGGCAGAAGTCTTCAGGAGGAGATGCAGACCCGAGGCCACAAGGAGCGCAGCCACAGCGACGGGTCAAAATGTAGGACCTGGGTCTTTGGACTTTGGTTCATTTGTGGTGAAACCAATGCTGCTTTGGGGGTGTCCAGTTTTTTTTCACGAAAGCTAGCGTCAGCTAGCTGGAGTCTTCTTGCTTTAGCAAGTATTCAGGGGGCTGCTCAAGGACATCACGTGATTTTTCACGTGAAAGGGGGGGTCCCCCCCCACCCCCCACCACCACCACCACCACCACCACCACCACCACCACCACCAGCATCATCATCATCATCATCATCATCGTCATCGTCATCGTCATCGTCATCGTCATCGTCATCGTCATCGTCATCGTCATCGTCATCATCATCGTCATCATCATCATCATCATCATCATCATCATCATCATCGCTATTCGAATACATTTTATCCTTATTGGCAATTATTGGCATTATCACGAAAGCTAGCGTCAGCTCGCTAGAGTCTTCTTGCTTTAGCAAGTATTCCGGGGCTCCCCAAGGACATCACGTGATTTTTCACGCGAAAGGCCCCCCCCTGCCCCCTCCCCCATGCCTCAAGTTGATCCAATGCCAATTTGATCAGAATTCAGTGGTTTTTGCAACTGACCCCTGAGATGCTCTCACAAGACCACTGCAGGATTTTCATCAGTTCAGCAAATCGTGCCCAAAGTTCAGATTGTGTGGGTTCCCAGTTGCTTCAAGGAAGTTGAAGATCCACCATCACCCGGAAACCATCAAAGACTCACAAACGGGTTACCAAAAGAATCACAGATTTGATCTTTTGGTGTTACCAAATCATCCGATCCAGGGGTGAGCCATAGCCAACGACATGTCATGCCCTGCATCGGCAAGCACCAAGGGGCTCTTGGCCGATAGAGTTTGCAGAGCTAGGGAGTGGATATGCAGGGAGCCCAGAATCAGGGTGAAAGATAGTGAAAACATGTACGGATGCAAGCTGTCGATGGATGTGTGAATCCAGGCCACTCTTTCAACATTTGCTGTCCAGTTCCAGACACCGACAGGAGATGGTACTCCAATTGACCCGAGCAACCAAGACCAAGGTGCTGTACTTCCAGTTCCTGGCTTTTCTCATGTTTATCTTCCTCATTCACGCCGGTTTGCAGGCAGCTGTTCAGCTGTTCTTTCAAGCTCTCTGTGGGATGGTGGCGTTCTGTGTGAACATGAGTGCGCATCATGATTTTCAGCATGATTTCTGCGGCTCAGGTACCTTGCATGGTGGTGTACGCAGGATCTAGCAACCTGGTAGTGCCTTGGCAGGGCTGGGGATTTCCTTGTTTAGCATTGAAGACGGCTAGACTCGACTGGAGTTTCCCCATGCGAGATTATCGAAATCAGCCACCGGGTCCATCTGTGGGTATCTAGTTTATGAACGGAAACCCATTCCAAGGGTTGAGGGAGTTGAATGAGTCAATCTTCTTTGCGTCAAGGGCACAGTAGGTCCTTTCTCAATTTGCGACTGCGAAAGCATCGGTAGTCTCCACTTTCCTTTCAACCATACTACTCGAGACTGAAACTACTGATGGCTACTGATCGCTACTGATGACTACTAATGACCACCTAATTTCAGAGCCCACCATGAAATTGCGGTGACTTTTGGTACTTGAAAGAAATCCTCCCAGCTTCGGCACTTTGTTTGGATTGCAAGGATTGGTCCTGGCACGAGTGGACCAAGGCGCATGTAGGTTTATCGGTCAAACGTGGCTTCCGGACATGGGAGGAAGAACGTGGCAGTCACCAAGGGCCCAGTTTCATACATGGAGGTTTCCTAAAATATCCTAAAATAGTGGTACCCCCAAATCATCCATTTTAATAGGATGTTCCATTATAAACCTGAAATTTTGGGGTACCATTTATGGAAGCCACATGTCAGGAACTTTTGGGGACCCAAGTTTTCAGACATCGGCCCAGTATGGCGATGTTGGGGGCCCCTTGGGAACTGCTGTGAGGCCTACTCAACAGATCCAAGCGCTTGCGACTGCACCTTGACCAAACCGGAATGCGGTCTTTATGCGTTTGGCAGACTTGATGCGGACTTTCACTGAAGATTACGTGGTCTTTGCACACCATCGGGAAAATAAAACATGTATAGATAGATGGATGGATGGATGGATGGATAGATAGATAGATAGATATGGATGGATGGATGGATAGATAGGATAGGATAGGATAAGATGAGATAAGATGAGATGAGATTAGATTATATATATATATATATGTATATGTATAGTAGTAGACATCGTCGCCTTTGCACGGCTGCGCCTGAATTCGGCATAGCTGTCTCTATTGACAGGAAGAATGTCCAGCATTTTCAGGAGTGTAGAAAGCACACTGCAGATGTTCTGCTCTTGCTTTCTGCGTGTTTCCTACTTACGCCCCAAACCTAGACAAACTGCACTCAACTTGTCATACTTCTTTTTCCAGAAAATTCCACTGTTGTTGTGTTTCAACATTGCAGATTTGCTGGAGTCTATACCTGAACCTTCGCATGTAATCGCATGCATACACATACGTTATGACGTGTGTGTGTGTATATATATATATATGCATGTAATAATAAACATTTGTTTAGATATAGTAACTCTCATATACTCATTTACATATAGCCTTGAATGTTTGACATTATTGATGTATCTATAGACCTTGTAGATTCCACGTATCTATGCTGAGGCGTGGGCAACTCAGCAGGATACGCGGTTCCAAGCCTCAGTCACCGGTGGTATGGCGCCAATGTTGGATAACATAGGTGAACTGAACAAACACCATTTTTTTCTTTAAAGGTAAAATATCGAACCATAGAAAAACGGGTAAAGTGTTAGATGTTTTTTTTCGCTTTGCAGTGTGTGATATCGGCATATATTGATGCTTTCTCACCATCGAGAACGTAGAGCAGACAGCTGCAAGTCTTTGCAATCTATGAATTGCGTGTACATATCTTCACACACACACACACATACATATTTATACATGTATGTACTCATGTCTGTCTGCATGGATGTCTTTGATGCCAGCATATGCCAAGGTTTATCATTCCTCAGTCTCTGAGGCAACATGCGGAACCTGGGACTATGACTTGTGTAGAAATGAGACCGATTGCCCCGGGCTGAGTGGACCATTGGACCATGGTCCAGCTGCGATCCAAAGGCCTGGGCCATATGGCCATGGCCATACTGCAGCTATTGAGGTACCTTCAATGAAACGGGGAAATGGATCTGCCAGAGCTGGTGCTATGCGGGCAAGTAGCTGGACTCAGATTTTGAGGGAGCTTTAGGGAGCTTGAATGACTTGCGTTTGATGGGCTTGTAGAGTCTTGTAGATGCTTTGGGACATCAGTCCTTGGGGTTGAACATGTCCTGTTTTTTTAAAAATATATTTCAGATTTGAACATAATAAATTGCACGAAAAGATGTTTGGCGGAGATGATATGGGAAGAAAGTTGGGTGATTGCTTGAATGAGACGTTCCCTCACCCGCAGGACCGCGTTTCTCACCTACCCAACCGCAACCCCGAGTTGATGACCGATCAGAACCCCACCTCTCAGCAATTAGACATCATGGTCTATGCCTTAAACCCACGAACCAAAGGATAGATGTGGTTCCAAGCAAAAATTCACCAAACTTGATCAATAGTTTGGTCTATGTCTTTCGTGTTCCATGTCACTTGTGGAATGGGTACCAGGGTTGCGACACATTCTGATCAGATCTGCGGATGGATCAGCATTGAGTTCCCCAATGACCAATCGCGGTTTGCAGAGTTTGTTTTCGTTTTTATTCAATAGCCACTTTATGAACCGGAACCATCCGGAACCAAGAATGATTTCGCATGATTTCGCACTAAATCATGGCTATTGTGGTACCGCTTGTACCATGAAAACCACCATGGAACTCCCAGAATGGGGGTCTGGCATATCATTTTCCCGGCGATTCCACGGCTGGACATTTGAGCAGCTTGAACAGCCGTTAACTCTGCTGCTCCCATGAAAAGTTTTGGGTTCTATTTTGATTTTGAGGGATGTACCAAAATTTGGATATTTGAGAAACTTGAGAATACCAATGCCAATTTCTCAAAACCCAAGTAGCAACATTTGGCTTTACAGATAGAACACCAAGTTGTTAGAGACCAAGAATTTATTTCACCCCCCTTCTCCATCTCGCAGAGAGGTACTGCCCCAAAACTGACACTGGTGTGAGTGCCTCCATGGTGAACGTGCACATTCATGACGGCAGCTCCGTGCTCGTCAAGGTGGTGATCCCGGCGATCAATGGTCACAAATTCGGCCTCCCCAATGGCAGATGACGATGGCGATGGCAAATAACCAGTAGCAAGTACCCCAAGAACAGTGAACCAATCTACACTTGGGGATCATCATTGATGTTGTATGAGTTGTGAGTGGCAACCCGATCAACAGGAAATGCTTGGATGCCAACCCAGATGTCCAAAGAACTTCAAAGATATTGTACCAATTTCCTGCCAATCGATCCCCTGGCCGCAGTCCTACTCGTCCTGCACACAAGATGAGACATTGATCGCCGAGTGCGAGGCTGGGGCGCTGCCATGAGTTTTTACAGTGTATTGCTGGCATACCTTCAGTTGAATTCCACATCCATGATCATCCATGGCTCTGGTGGAGATTTTTGATGATTTTTGGTGGGTGAACTTTACACAACGCCACCTCCATTGTCCGAGACTGCTTTTGCAGAGTGGAACCATCTGGAGGCGGACTTCCGGTCGACCAACACAGCCTACAGTGGGTCAGATGTCGACACCGGCAAGGTGGGACATGGTGGGAACGATGTCTCAGCATAGGTCCCTGATATTTCGAGTGCATGACAGCTTCTACACAATCCCGCGTTTTGGAATTAAGTAGCAACTTCTTCGATTCAACAAGTTCCTAATATCATCTAATATCTAACAATAGTTACTGGTTTCTTTACAAACTCTAACCAGACGTGGTCACAGGGCCAAGTCTATGGGAAGGATCTTCCTGCCAGGACAGGGTGTGGATCGGCCAGTATTGGTTGTCGCCTGGCAACTTGGGCCCAGATGAGGCACGGTTCCGTTTTCGAACTGTGTGGATTTCTCCGAAAAAAAAACCGGAATAATGTGGTAAAACCGGTTATTAATACTTGGTTCATATAATAATGATCCTCAATAATTGGGATGATTCAATCAATAGTTATGATATAATTATATATGTAAACCCAATGCCATAGACCCACCATTTGCAGATGGTTTTTATATGTACCAGCCATTTCTGGTAAGTCATTGGAGAGGGTTTATTGTTTGGTTTACCAAAGTTGATGATGGCTTATCATCATTTTCCCCACTGGCGATTTGGGGTATCCAGTATACTTTAAGACAAACCCGCAGGATCCCGCAGGTATATTCCCATGGGAGAGCAGAACGCCAGGATTTAGACACTGATGGGTGGCTTCGAATGAATATTTCACATGATTCACATGATTTCCCCCAGTTGGAATAAATTTCAGAATTGATTGGATTTCCCCATATTTTCCACATTTTTCTGGCCAATAAATCACTATTTCCAGTTGGCTTGGGATCTGATTTCCCCATATTTCCAGTTTTCGCTGAAAGCGTTTCCCACATTTCCAGGCCACCAATGTGATCATCCCAACGATGTACACCGTGTCGCGGCGCCGTGTTGGGTGATATTTGATGATTGCTTGGGAGGTGATTCTACCCAAAAATATGGGATATTACGCTGTATAATACTATATATACTATAATATATATATGAAATATAATATAATATAATATAATATAGTATAGTATAGTATAATATAATATAATGTAATATAGTGTAATGTAATATGATATAATATAATATAATATAATATAAATATATAATATAATATAATACAATATAATACAATATAATATAATATATAATATACTATACTATAATATAATATAATATAATATATAATATAATATAATATAATATAATATATATATATATGATATATAATATAATAATATATATATATATATGATATACAATATAATATATATGATATGATATGATATGATATGATATAATAATAGTAATGATAACAATAATAATAACAATAATAATAGTAATAATAATATATATATGTTATGATATAATATAATAATATATATATATATACATGATATACAATATAATATATATGATATGATATGATATAATATAATAATAATAGTAATGATAATAATAATAATATTAATAATAATAATAATATATGATGACCATGCATTAGGATGACCATGCATTAGGACACTTCCCAACTGATAAGGAAAGATGATCACTGAGGAAAGATGATCACTGCTGATTTTGCTTGTGATACCATGGCCGTTTTGAGCGGTTTTTCACAGACCTCCCGTCTAAGGTTTGTGTCATCAGCATGTGCGTGCTCATCCTGATGGCTTACAGCAGTCAGGTAGGCTGCTGAGCATTTTCTCTCAAGAACGGTGGATATGGTGGGTGAACAAAAAGCATAGTCTGCTCATTGTCCAAAAACTGGAAGGTTCTCACGGACTACAAAGTGGATGCTGGCACCACCTCCCCCAATGACTTTGCCATCATGGTGAAGGCTGGAATGGTATGGGATATGATCCTGGCAATGAATTGAATTGAACTGGCACAGTATGTTATGTTACAGGTTTATAATCATCATTTCATTATTTGTATTCTCGTTACTATCATTATATATCATTATAATCATTATCATCATGATACCTATTATCATCATTGCAATTATGCAATCGTTGAAATCATTGCGATTTATTTAAGCATTCAGACTTATATATCAAAATTATCACGAAAGCCAGCTTCTGCTAGCGGAAGTCCCCTCTTGCTTTAGCAAGGTATTGGAAGGTTGGAATCGCCAATCGCATGAAACTTCATACTTAACTACCCAGCAGTTTGGCCATGGCTCAATCCCCCCGGGGACACTGTCGGCAAGAAATTCGGCAGCATCTGCATCCTCAGCATCATTGTGTTTTCATGCAAAGCTCCCTGCCAAGCTTTCGTCCCTTACTCCTGGGCCTCAAGTATTCTATGCGTTTGCAGTAGTGGCTTTGAAACTTGGAAGAGCTTCTCTTTTTCGTTTTTCGCACAGCCAGGGTTTGCCCTCTACAGCGACGGACGAGGAGACTCCACACATATTTCACAGGTCATCTCGGTCAACTTTAGGGTTTACTCAGATTCTCCAGAGATTCACCAGAACATGTTTTCCACGTCTTCCCAGGAGAGCATCATGGAGTTTTTCAAAGAACATGCCGTGAAGGGGAAAACTGACACCGAGATCGTCAAGGTGGTGTTGAAACCAGCAGAATCCCATCCTCAAACCCGACGAAATAATGGGGATATAATGGGGATATAAGTGATAAAACTAATGATGGGAATATTCATGGGATAATTCGCCTTAAACGTATGTGTGTGCTTGAGATCTTGGCTGAATTAATGGCTGAATACATCACGGAACAGGGAACAGCTTTATTTTCCATTGAATTCTGAACCTCCAATGAATCCGACATTTGCTCCACTTTTTGATGGCCATATCCTGCCTCAATCTCCCATTTCTGGACAAACCCATATCATATTGTTGCTTATATAATACATATATATATATATAGTATTATATAGTATTATAATATATATATAGTATTATATAGTATTATAATATATATAGTATAATTATATATAATTATATATATATATATCTGTGTCCAAATTGTATCCCCTACCATATCCCAATCATAATATCTGGTTAGTATAACTTATCCCATATACACATCCCATTTTGTACAAAGACGTGCGACTCGGCAGATTGCCAGGTGGTCATCGGTTGGGACATCGATGAGTGGCGAGAGAACATTGCCAGACTCAAGGTGCGGGGGCCCGACACACGACCTGAGTCGTTGTGTCCGTGGACAGTTCAACGGTCAACGTTTGGGGGAATTATGACTTACTAAATTTGTGTCAAAATGTAACATCCTCCAAATTAACAGTTTGACATGTTTGACCATTTTTAGTGGAAGCTAATATTCCAAGCATATTCCAAGCACGACTCACAACAGCGTCGAGATGTTGATTTTGGGGGAGGCTAATTTGATTGAAAAGAATATCAGAACCATTAGTTTTGACTGGTGAATCAGAACCATTAGTTTAAGTGTTGAATATCAGAGCCACAATAGATATCAATAATACTTGATAATGGCCATTATTAATATGAACCTGTAGCCGTTTACCATATGAATACTTACTTGTGAACATGATTACCATATTGTGAAACTATGAATTCACTGGCCAGTAAAAACTGCTTTTTACCAGCTTATACCATATATAAGACCTGTTCATCGATTAGTTCGGATGATGTCCCGTTTGGATCCACTTTTTTGTCTATCCGTGGCTTGGTGGTTCGCAGGACTTGAAAAAGCGGCTGGATGCCACAGATAGGACAGCGCCCGAGGCGCAGGGTGAGCATGGGTGACCATCGGTGAAAAATGGGGATGCAAAAACAGGGGGGGAAACACCACGTCCCATGGTATTTTTTTGTGGTATTCCTGGTACATTTTCATGGCTTGTAGATGATTTGATATGCTATTTGATGGGTTTTCTCGAAATAGACATTTTCTCAAATTTTTCACCGTCCTTCGCACGTAGAGACCATTTTCGATGAGCATCCCAAGATGAACTATGGTGTTCGTTCATGGGATGCATGAAGCATCCTGGAACTATTCTGGCAGTAAGGAAGTAAAAAACCGTACCAGTTGTTTTTTGTTTTAACTATTTTGTTATTTTTTTCTCGCTACCCTTCTATAATTATTTCACATCCACGACTGCACTGCCAGGCGCAAGAAATCCAGGTTCGGCTTGCGGGTTAAGCTTGGCGATTTGGATGTTTGGAGCAGTGGGTGGGGGATTTGTTTCATCTCGGCACCATGCAGTGAAGTGATATGTTGCGATGTTAAGCACCACTGGAACATGACATTATCATTTTATCATTTGGCTTGAATTTTAAGATCACCTGTTGGAAGCGAATCACTCATCATCACTGTACCTGGCCAAAGAGTTGCTGGATATGCCATTGTCCTTGCCAGAAAGAGATGGTGCAGATTACCAGCGCGCTGAAATCCGCCGGGACGAAGGACCGCAGATTCTGATGATTGCTAAGCTCTAAGATTGGAGCCCTTGTTGCAAGTGGCTCTTGGATGGTAGAAGGTCTGAGAACTTTAGGATACTTTTGGTGGATACTCTGTTGTACAGTTCCGCCAATGTAAATGAGGTGCCGGGTTCAAATCGTGTAATCCACAGCGGGTCAGACCAAACCAGCCTGTCTGCCTGCCGGTTGCATGAGTTTTGTCTTTGCGATAGGATGCGAAATTGCGCTCCTCTGGCGTGGTGGTGGTAGTCTTCCGGTACCAAAGTGATATGAGGGCATGCCTTAAGAAGCGCCTTGGACCTGTTACCACAGGGGGGAATATGGCTGATATGGCGATAATGAGATATCATTATCATGGTGATTTAATGGGGTTTTTAATCGGGAAGAACGGTATTTCACGATGATTTATAATCTACATGGGCATGGATCCAATTGATTGATGGATCAGAGCCTTTGGCACCCAGGTTTCAGAGCCACACCACCAGGGTGGGGACATGCGCACGTTGAGGTGGGATTCCTTCTGGGCCAACTGGTTCAATTGCGCCTCAAGTGACATCAGCTTCCTTTGGAAGAGTCTTGGACTGCCGAAAGGCGAAACTGTCAGAGATTGGTACCATGCTTGAGATGTTGAGATGTCCTCACCATTTGTTGGTTGCCATGTACACACAGCCAGTTGGGTTTGTCCGAAAGGGTTGGTATCCCCAAATGCCATGGATCATTCAGACACCCAACATGAATAGCCCAGTTGATTAATGTTGGTTATATCATGTTATGTCCCCATTAAATACCCATTAAGCCACCATTTTTCTTGGGCAAACCACCATGTATTATATCCAAATTATATATCATCATTACTGACATGAAGTGCTCAGACTTGATCAGCACGCCAAGGGACAACGGCATCTGCAAGGCAGGGATATCGACTAGTGCAAGACCTCGACTTGGTTTTCGATAGACACGGATATATATCATGGTATACCCACAACGGCAATTTTGATGAGGGAAAAGATGGGAAACCCATGTAACCGCAGCATTTTGTTTCCTATTTTTTATTGGACAAGACAGTTGCATTTAACCAGTGCTGGATTGCCCTTGCCCTGTTTCCAGGGCGAAGCGTTGCCGCGCTTTCCCATTGGCGGTCGGCCGATGCTTGGGTTGGAACGAGCGATCATCCCTCCTATCAGTTGGTTTGAAGTGGTTAAATTGAAGCCAAACGACCCAGTGCTAACAGGTTCAATCTATACTGCAATGAGATGACTATCATCCATAGTTTATTACCCAGAAATCGATGATAGCGCCTCAAGTTCGCTGAGGATTGCGAAGCTTTCGGCTGCCCCTTGGCATTTCTGTGGGCTGTTGGAGATTCTGAAGTTACAAGAAATCCACGATTGGATCTCCAAAGCAGGCGGTAAATGCCCTTTGCAGGTCATCAACCATCCTGATAGCATCACTTAGTGACAAGACATCAAACACTATTCACTGGATGGTTTCAAGGCTTTATTTGAAAAGAACCAAAGCAGGATCCTCACAAACTGTTTAAACTCAACAACTCATAAATTCTGCTTCAGTGATGTTCAGTGGTTGAAATCGACCCTCTGGTAATTTAACAAAGCTACGGTAGAGATGGCCCTTTTAGTTCGATGATTTATCTATTATTTTGATGGTGAGTTTCCATAGCAAAGTGCAACAAACTACCAGAGGATACCTCCCATGAAATCTCATTTTCATATCCCATAAAACTCCCAAGGCGCGAGCGGCCAATCCTGGAGACATTCATTGGGCGGAGCTGGCAGTTCCGCAAGGGGAACGCATCAAGAGGCTGACCACAACGGGTTGGCTGATGGTTGGCGGATGAAATTGTTTGATGATGATGATGATGATGAGGAGGATGAGGATGACGACGACGACGACGAGGATGATGATGGTTATTATTGCTATCAATATCATTACACTTATTATTAGTAGTCTCACTAGTAGTAGCAGCAGCCGCAATAGTACTGGTATTATTTTTACAGGTCTTTTTCTTCTTACCATTTTGGGCTATATATTAGATTACTAGTGACGATGACGTTTTATCTTGGTGACTAGTTTGTGGCAGTCAACCGTTTATAATTATAATCACATGGAGGCAGTCCGTGCTTCTAGCCAACCATTCAGCACCGTATTTTCAAGGTCAAAATCGGACTGGAATCCAAAAATTAAAGCGTTTTTGACCCAGAAGAACCATTAAGAATACACATGAACTCATTTATAACATCATTTAAAGATCACATAAATTCAACGATTCTTTGGAGTCATTTCACATCAAATCAGTTCCCATGAGGGTTCATGGTGCCAGGCTAGCCATCACGAATGGCGTGATGTTCCTGCTGGTTGCGGCCTGCTTCGGTGCCGTCTACGGGCTGCGCATCGCTCCGTGGCGGAAAGGACGACATTTCTGGGAAATTGGGTGGGTTTAATGGAACCTCTACAGCAAAATATGGTTTTTAAGGGAACATCTACTGGGAAATATGGAATTCCCGTGAAAAACCGGGAAAACTATGGGAACATCTACAGGAAACCATGGTTTTTCCCGTGAAACATGGATTCATTTGGAATGATTCAAAGGAACATCGACAGGAAACGCATGGAATCCGCATGGAATTCATTTCCCCTACATGTTTTCCCTTAAGGCATCCAATGGATGGGAAAACAAGAAATGAAGAGAGTGACCTCTGCAACACAACTCAGGCTGCCATGGCCGTGAAGGAATCAGCAGGCCAGACATTGAATGGACGGGAGTTAAGGGAGTTTAAGGCTTTGATGTGTTGGTCGAAGTGAATCTGTTTTGTCAAGGAATAGCACGAAATCAACCACAAAGAATCAAAAATAGGGGCAACTCGGCAACTCAATGTTTACGTCTCCCGCAATCGGCTGATTCTTGCGACAGCACTGGCTCTGGCACCACATCTCATGGAGTCCATCCTTTTCACCAGACACTAAAACTGCAGGCTCTGGGGGCGTTTGGTTGTCGTTACTTCCTGCCTTCGTAGTAGCAGACACTGGGCAGCAAGTGCTGTCAAATGTCACGATGGGCTGGGTAGAAATTCGGTAGCATCCTGATGGGTATTTATTGTTTACTATCGGGTAGATCGATGATTCTGTCATGTCCATGTATGGTAAAGGCTGCAAGAACAATCACGCACACACACACATTTGATGTACTGCACATGGGTTTGTGATATGGAACGTACGGACTCCAGTCCAGTTATATAGGGATATGTTTCGCGAATAGCCGCTGGGAATATGGAATAGTAGCAGCCATCCAGACTTCGTTTCATAGCCCACACAAGTAGGTAGTGCTTGCGCAGGAAAATTGGGGGATGTAATTACTGCGATTGGCTACCCTACCCATGATTTTTCATCATTGTCCCCCTTAAATATTGCCAGAAATTGGTGTATTCCCCCATTTTGATACAAACCGATTTCAACGTTTCAGAAAATGCTTCCCTGTTTTCCGAACCGCAGCCAGCCTAGATCGTGAACGGCTTGTTGATGGCCGCCGCCAGAATGCTTGGGGACAAGGAACCAGGGAAAGGCTGGGAGGATTCAATCCCCAAAACTTCAAATTGTTTGGCACAGAACCGTCCTGAAAGATGTAACAAGTCAATCAATCATGGATGACTTCGAAAAGAACCAGAGCAACGCTGCAAGATCCATGGTTCATCAGCTGTTCATCAGCTGTTCATCAGCTGTTCATCTCGCCCCAGGAGTTCCACGATACCTTGACCGAACAGGAATTCTCGCAAGCTGCGAAGATGTCGGTCGGAATGCCTCTCGGCTGATTGTGGCTGATCTCCCTGTTGGGTAACATGGCAATGGAACAGCCCCTCTTTGTAGGTACCTGTTGAAAACGCGGAGTTTCGCATTGCTAGAGGGTTCAAAATTTGATGTTCAAATATGGCTTCTGAGGGTTCTGAACTTCTCATTGTATCCGTCCACTTTGAAGACCGATCGTTGTGTTACAGACCCACTTGATGTGAGATCGCTTGGCACAAATGACCGGACCATTTTGATCCAGTATCTCAGGATGATTCAGTCGAAAAACAGTTGATTGGAATGCAGAATTTGAAAGTAAAGTACCAGAGGCACAAGTGATCCCAACCCCAGAAAGAAAGCCGGCTATGAAAATTTCAATTGGACAGATTGACCACTCGCTTGAGTCTCTTGGTGGCTATTTTTTTGGCGAAGGGATCACTTGTACATCAGTTTACGTTCCTGGAGATGGAGACTTTGCCACTGATCATCATTCATTCTCATTTATGACTTAGGATATCGTCAGTATGGATGATTAAGAATGATCATGATGATATTAAAGGATGATGATCACCATCTATAATTTATCAACGATAGATGATTGTCCCATTTCCTGCCAGGTGGGATTGCCAGGTTGGCTGTAGCTCATTGTTTGAGACCGGTGCCACCGCTCCGCCGAGCTGCCAAGGGTGGTGAATACTGCCGGTGTCCTATACTTCATCTACGCAACACCCAGCGAATGGTATCAAGATGGAGGCGGGTTTGTACCCAATGCCATAAACATCCATAAACCAGCAACCAACTACTGTATTTAGGGAGTCTTAGTAATTAGCATCATCCCATTTCTAGGGGTTTACCATGGTATACCCAAGTTCCTCCTTATTCGGGATGGTATCAACAGCTGGGCTGTCCTGGAGGTCTGGTGAATGGTGCCTTCACCATGCTTCTCATCAATGCTATTGTGCCGCCCATTGTGCCATACCTCGATCTCGGCAGCTCAGCTCAATGGGAGACGAAGGTACGTGGCCAGCTGGTTTTCTACCACCATGCCCCAAAAATGATATCCTGCACAGGGAAAATGCTGGTAAACTATGGGATTCTGTGGTTCCAAATTTTGAGACCCCATGTGGCCACCCTTGAGCTGTCACATTTTGTGAATCCCTTGTTGGTCCCTCCCTTGGTCCACCCTCCTTGAGGCTACAAAATCCGAGGAACCATGCGTGGCAAGTTGGAGGCAAAAAATGGCGGTGCACCTTTTCGGGATGCCTGGTTTTTCGGCCATACATTGTGAACGTGCCTATGATGGAAAAAAGCGTGTCATTTAATATCATTTAATCAAGATGTTAAGACATAAATCATATTAAATCAGATTAAATTCCCCATGTTTGAGATGGTGAGCTGCCTCATTATCGGAGAAGACCATGAACCAGTTCAGATGAAACGATGACCAGGCCAGGCTACCATACTTCAACGAAGTCCTGGGGCTACTGGGCAGCAGATTCTTTTAAAGAATCATCGGCCGAAGACATGGTAAACTTTGGGAATTTCACCGCCATGTTTTGACGAGATACTTTGATGAGCTCTTTGATGTTATTTGATTATATTTCCCCACATGTTCATAAATTTTGAGACAATCTGAGACTTTCGATTTTCTTCAAACAGGCAAACTTCTGCGAAGCAGGTTGCTTTGGGGAATTTCCCGGCATCAGTGACGCCAAGGCGAGGGCCGAACCCCAAAGATCCAGAGCAGATGAAGGAGATGCTTTGGGCCCATCTGGACCTAAGGTTTGGGCAAGGAATATCAATGAATATCAAATCATCTTCCAACTAGAGTGGCCGTTTTGAGGATTTTAAGGTGATAGTGTGTGAATGTTCCAATGATAGTTGAATATGTGATAACTCTTAAGGATAATAACCTACCTTATATGTATATATATTACCCCTTCATAATTGTAGGTTGGTTGGGTAGGGGCTTTATGAGGTGTGAAAGTGTTGATACCTTTTGGGCCTTGATGCCAATTTTGGCTCAAGGACCCACTTTTTGGTTTTCCGCCTTCGTGGGTCCATGGCACTTCGGCCTATTGATTGGACTGCCTGGAAGGGTGCGGCGAAGCTGTGGCTCACCACCCATCCGGGGTTCAATCATAGGGAGGTCACGCGCGAGCAGCGGCTGGAGACCTTCGAGCTGCGCGCGGCCTTCGCGGTGGCGACTGCGGCTGCCCATCGCGAGGACAGAGGCCTGGGAGCCCTGCCTTGCGACAGGTGCGGCGTGTGGACGCACTGCTGGTGCGAAGCTTGCCAGCGGCCTGCGACGGCTATCTGCACTGTGTGCGATGCCGCGGAGGCGATCTGCCACGCCTGTGAGCGTGCCGGAAAGTCCTGGCGCAGTGCCCGAGCGGCGTACGAAGCGGCGACGCCGCAGGCAGAGGAGATCGTCGAGATCTCCGGGTTCCATGATGCAGAGGGAGTCTTCCAGACCATTGACCCCCCGCTCCGGATCCCCCTCCGGGAGGTCCTCTCGGCCGATGGCGAGCCGGACGCGGCCGCCATCACCCGCCGTGCCGCCGCGCACGGCCAAAGAGGTGACGGCCGGTATGGCGCCTGAGGTGGTGGACATCCTGCTGGATCTCCCCCTCCCCCTCCTTGCACGTGTGGGCGCTGAAGGAGTGGAGACGGCGGCAGACGTCGTAGGTTTGTACCCCAATGTGGACCTGTTCATGGATGCCTTGCATGCCGTGATGGGGACACGTGTGGATGCCGACCTTAGCATGGATGTGGCGTGCATTTATGCTCGGGTTCATGGGCTAGCCCGTAAGACAAAGAAGCACGCAGTTGAGCTCGTAGTCGCCGAGCGGCAGTCTGTGTACCCCTCGGGTGCTGCTGAGCGCTGTGGAAGCCGTGAAGCGGCCGCTAGCAGCCGCGGAATGAAGCCCCTGGTGGGCCTTGGGACAGGCTCGGCCGGATCCACTGTGGTGTCTGGGCCTGGTCCTGCACCGGCCAGCACCAAAGCGGATGTAGCCAAGCAGACTAAGTTGGACCTCCTTTTCCACCTGCTGGTCGACTACGTTTTGGACTTGCAGGAGCTGGGCATCGACACTGCCCTCCTGGCTGACCCGCTGGGTCGCACAAAGGTCCGTGAGACTGTGCTCCACGGGGCCCAGAGATTGTCGACCCAGAGGCTTGGCGCTTTGATCAGCAGCTTCAAGAGGTGGGTGAAGTTTTGTGAGGAGAGGCAGTGGGCGCCTAACGCCCCGAAGCCGTTCCAGTTGGCCACTTACCTGCACTGTGTCAGTCAGGGGGGGCCCACAGCGGCATCGTCGATGCATGCAGCTTTGAAGTGGTTTGCAGACCAGGCTGGTGCGGCACTGGACCTGTCGCACCCCATGGTGGCCCCTTACCGCTTCCACGCTGTGACCCACACAGCGCGGCAGGCCCCGGAGCTTCAGCCATGGGAGCTGATCGACTTGGTTTGCCTCTTCGGCCGTGCCAAGGGCAACCACAAGCTCCTGTTGGCCTGGGTGGTGATGGCGGCGATCTCTTGCGTTCGCTGGGAACACCTGCAGCGCTCGAGTTTCGTGGCTGGCCACACCAAGTGGATTGAATTCCACTGCCAGCAGGGCAAAGCTCGGAAGAAAGGAGCCAGGCCAGCGTATGGATGGGCTCTGCCAGAATGGTGCTGGGAAGGCCATGGTGTTGGCCGCATCCTCGAGGATTTTTACCGGCATGAAGTGCTGGCCACGGCGGGTTTCCTGGTACCAGCATTGCAGCTGGCTGCGGACAACCTCTGGGAAGTCACAGAGACTACCCCGCTGGTCCTTGGAAAGCCGATGTCCAGGGGACGCTTCCTGGAAATCTTCCGGGGTGCCCTCATGCAGTGTGGTTTGGATACCCACTCAGCGAAAGGGGCGACCTTTAACCGGCTGAGGCGATTCCTGCCCACGCTGGGTAATGTGCTGGAGATTTCCGATGTGGATGCGCAAGCGGTGGGTAACTGGACTGAGGTCCCACAGGGAGGTGGCCTCACTGCACCGAGACCCAAGGCTGCCATGACGATGGGCCGCCACTACGGGGGCCATAAGGTGCTGCGCTCGGCGGTGGTCAAGGTGCGCCTCATGGAGCGCTTCCTGGAGCTGTGGAAGTTGCAACGGCAGCATGTGTCCCTCAATGCCGAGGGCCTGCTGCCTGTTGACTCCTGGCGTTGGCCTGACTTGCAGGCGTTGCACCGGCAGACTCCTTGGTCAGCAGCAGATCCAGACCTGTCCGCTGCTATCACGGATGCGGCGGCCCCGGCGCCTGAGCAGCCAGGTGAGGAGCAGCAGGACGACCAGGCAGCTACCCTGGAGGAGCCGGCAGGTGAGCCAGAGGCGGCATCAGGTGCCTCAGGCGATGACAGCAGTTCGGCCTCTGACATCTCCGCCGATGCGGATGACCTAGTGGGCATTTTGCCGGACCCTACGGCAGCAGCTGAAATCAAGTGGTTTCGCCAGGGCACCAAGACGCACCTGGTGAGCGACACATCAGAGAGTGACCGGCTGATCCCGTATTGCCGAGACAAGCCGTTTGACCAGGATCCTGCCCGACGGGGCGAGGGCTTTGTGCGTGGGGGGCTTGAGTGCATCTGCAAGCGATGTCTCAGCCGTATGCCACGGGGGCTCTACCTGAGTCTGGCGGAGCACTGCGGCTGGTCCTCCTGAGTCCTGAGTAGCTGCGGGCCCGTACTCTAACTAATTTGTGTGTGCCAAAAAGGGCGCGAGCTGCAGGCAGTTTCACTCTCTTTTTCATGTCAGTGTGGTTTGTGTTTGTCACGCCTTATAGGCCCTCAGGCTGTAATAGGTGGACAGGCAACCCCCTGTCGGTCTCGAGAAGGCGCAGCCGTCTGTTGTGCCTGTGCGAACTCTATGCTTTGGAGTTTTGGACCCAAGCTAGTAGTGTGCCAGCCCACCAGCGCGCGCCATGAGCCGAGTCGATGTGCTGGCGGATGACCGCGGCCTCCAAGGATGCTTCAAGGTGGCTAACATCCAGCAAGAATGGGCGCAGGACTTTATCACCAAGCACAAGTTGGTCACCCTGGACGACTATATCTACTCGGTTGCCCATGATACATGGGAAAAGGGTGTGGAAACCTTGGTGTCCCAGGTTCCCACCCTCAGGGACAACATGATCGCGCTGGCGAGGTTTCGCAGCGCTTTTGACATTGGCCGAGAGGCCTTGCGCCAGGCTGCAGCGCCAGCAACGAAGAGTGTCGATTTGGACGAGCCTCTGCCAGAGGCGACCATGAAGTCTCTCAACCAGGATTGGGCTCGCCGGTACAATTTGCAGCTGGATCCGTCTTTGGAGCCCTGTGAGGCCCTCCGGTCCAGGCTGTACCAAGAGTTTCGGAAAGGCCAGCTCACGGTCATTGAGGCTCGCAAAGTCAAGAGCGTTATTACAGTGGCCCAGCCCAAGACACAAGGGTCGGTTACTTTGGGAGACAACCTCCACTTGGAATTTGAGAAGGAGGAGGGTATCCCGATCAAGAGCTGTGTGGAATATTACCTGCAGATGCGGGTGCTTGCTCATGCTTTGGCATGGGCGGGCAACTACCAGGTGGATTATGAAGGGGGGCGCCACTGGATGATGGACCTTTCCACCGTGCTGGGCTATGTGGATGTCGCCTTGCGTAATTGTATCGAATTCGCAGGTGGATCCATGTTGTGGCTGCAACGAAACGACGTGTTGACGCGGGGCAAGCTGGCGACCTACGTCAACAGAGGCATGCCAGGTTCTGTGGCCATGAAACAGGCCTTGCACGAGACGCACTTGGAGTGGCGGTCTCCCTTGGCTGCCCCGCTGGTGGTGTCCTCTGGGTCTGGGTCCCCAGGGACCACCAAGCGGAAGCAAGAAAGCAGCCCTCTGCCTGTGGGCGAGGCGCCGACCAAGCGGCCGCGCACCTTGAAGGCAGATCGATGGCCCACAGTGAGCATGATCAAGGGCGGCAAGCGATTGTGCAAGCCGTACAACGACGGCAGGGGGTGCAGCAACTCGCAGTGTGATCAGATGCATGCCTGCGATGTGAAACTGCCCAACGGAAAGCCTTGCTTGAGTCGGGCCCACACCAGGGTCCAGCATGAGGAATGACTCCTTTCCCCCGCGAGGTGTGCTACCCCCGGGGACCCATGGCTGGAGATAGCTGCTGCGCTGCCTGCCACGCCTGTTGGACGGGTGGTCTCACTCAGGGACCCCCTGGTGGACCCCCTCCAGCGACCAGTTGACGGAGCGAGTGCTGACCGACTCCGGGCGGCAAAGCCAGTGGCATGGCGAGGTTTGGGGGATCTGCCCCAGTTCACGTGGGCCAAGCCGCTTGTGGGCTCATGGCTGGTGATCGACCTTTGGGCTGGCTTCAGTGGGCTGTGTGTGGCCCTCCTTGCGATGGGGGTGCGTTTTCACGCAGTGGCTGCGGAAAATGACACTTTCCCTGCCCAGGTGGCGGAGCAGATCATGCCGCAGGTGGTAGCTGTAACGTTGACGCGGTGGAAACTGTGACAGGGGCCATGTTCCGTCCGTTTCTGCAACGTCGGCAAGTCAGAGGCATTATTTTAGGCGGAGGGTCCCCCTGCCAGGGCAACTCTATTTTGAACACTGGCCGAAAAGGTTTGGCTGATACCCGAAGTCAACAACCTCAAGAGTTGGTACGCATCCGCCAGGAGCTGCAAGACCTCCCAGAATGTGCGACCCTGGAGATCGTCACGTTTCTGGAAAACGTGGCCTCTATGCCCTGCGAAGTCATGGACCAGTATACAGCATGGATGGGCTTCCCACCTATCCTCATTGATGCGGGCGCTTGCGGATGGGTGCAACGGCGTCGGCTGCTGTGCACGGTTAGGCCAGGGTCGCTGCGGGGTGTCACCTCGTTGCACCCCCCCCGACGGCTGGGTATGGGTCGAGTCTGGGACCGATCCCCCCGAGCTGCGCTGGAAGGGACCCAAGCCAATCCCGGCCAAGGTTCATTTTGATCAGAGTTTTGGCCCCCTTTTTGATGCTGCCGAAGTAGTTAAGGCTGCGGGACAAGGTGCTATGCATCCGTTCACCAGGGAGTTTTGGCACCCCTGTAATCGGGTCAAGCTGGTTCCGCCAGAGGCGGCTGCTAGATTCTATCAAGATGAGAGGCGGTTCCCCCCGTCAGCCTATACAGCAGAGAGTTTGCTTTGGCGCCGGGATGAGTGGCGTCAGCCGGGGCCTGAGGAGCGCGCCCAGATGATGGGGTTTCCTGCGCAGTGCCTTCAGGCTGTCCAGGGACCAGCCAACGCCAAAACAGTATGCTTGGCAACGGCTTCCACCTACCGATGATTGTGGCACTTTTCTGCTTGCTGCCAGGTGTCTTGAGTATGAAGGTACCGCGACCGTTGTTTGACCTCGCGGAGCGCAAGTTGCAGGAGCGTTTGGCGGGCACGGTATGTGAACCAGGCCGCTTGCAGGTGTTCCCTGGTTTGCTTTCTAGCGACCAGGTGGTGCAATCCATGCAGCGGACAGTATTCGGATCCTTGCCAATCTCTGCAAATGTGTGGCAGTTGACCGCCACCCGGTTGGCTCCCTTGCCAGTGTGGCACCTGCAAGCCTTTACTGCGTGGGCAGTTGGCCGAGGCGCATCATGTGATCAATTAGGGCCCACCCCGCTGACAACTAGCCATCGGACAGCTCTGTTTGCAGGATTGACCGGGCAGCGCTACCCGGGCAATTCTCGGAAGGGCCTGGACCATTTGCTGCCGCCAGGCGTAGGCAAGGAGGAGCATATCAAACAGGCTGTGGGCCTGCCATCGCCCTTTCGCCTTCGCGAGTGGCCTGAGCAAGATGTGGATTTCGTTCTACACGCCATTGCAACATGGCAGCAGGCGCTGATCGGGTACTCTGAGCAATGCCGCCAGGTATTTCGACAGGTCTGCACAGCGCTGCTACCATTGGATGATGAGTTGCGCAAATTCAGGGTGCACAGTGCAGTGAAAGTGGCCGCTGGAAAAAGGCCCGCCGTTTTGGCGTTTTTGACTGTGATCCTGCGATGGCCCGACTTGCAGCAACCTTTGCAGATGTTGCAGGGCTATCCTATTGTCGGGGCACTGGAGCCTAGTGGAGTCTTCCGATCCATTACTGCTCGTGAAGCTTTGCCAAAAGAGGAGTGGTTGGGGGATGCAGCTGTGGCAGCTGTGGAGAGGATTGAGAGCTCTCGCCCTCCGCGGTTTGCCGAGCGCATCTATGCTGCCACAGTTCTTGAGCAACAAAAGCAATTTTGCTCGCCTTTCCTTACCAAGCGCTGCATGGATGAGCGTTTTGGCGTAGGACAGTGGCGACCGCTGCAACGTTTCTTGATTGTGCAGCCGGATGGAAAGGAAAGAGTCATTGACAATGCACGTAAGACTCTCCACAATAGTTCAACGGCGATGATGGAAACGATTTACACGGTGCACTTGGACTTCATCCCGGCCGTTATCAAGCAACTGGCGCACCGGCTTCAGGTGACTAGCCCAGGGGATTGGAGTGTCTTCCACCCCTGGGCGCATTTCCGCCTGGGTACGGATGATCTGCCGGATGCATATCGTGGTCTGCCCGTGTGCCAAGAACATTTGCCATACTCTGCTGTGGCAGTCTGGGTACCCCAGCAGGGATGGCGTTACACTATCTTGTGGGGACTGGCCTTTGGACTCGAAAGTGCTGTAGTCTCATTCAACCGACTGCCTCAGCTTGGCATTGCCGCTACCAGAAGATGCCTCTATGGTCTTGCAGCAGCTTATTTTGATGATGAGTTGGCCGTTGAAGTGGTGGCAGCAGCCGACATTTCACAACAAGCCTTGCGGCTCTTGTTTACTAGTATTGGCGCTCCGCCCCAGAAAGCCAAGGGATTTGCTCCTTCACCAGATCGCCACTACCTGGGAGCCGCGATTCACTTGGGCTCCGTGATGACAACGGGTTGTGTCCGTATCCAGCCAAAATTCGCGACGGTGGCCAAAGTTGCCGGTCGTCTCCGAGTGGCCATTGCCAACCGTTGTCTTACCAAAGAGGAAGCTGGCAAGCTCCGGGGCGACATCACTTGGATGTTTTCTTTGGCGGCGGGTCACATGGGCCGTATCGCCCAACCTGTTCTGGCCAAGTGCAGCAAAGCTTTTGTTGTTGTAAAAGGTCTTTGAGTTTTTATAAAAAAAATAAAACCTCAGATGTGGCTTTGAATCAAACCAAAAAGTTTTTACTTGCTCACCATGTTTTTCACAATTTGTTCTTTCTAAACTTAAACTCTTAGGGTTTGTGTTTTGTTTTACTTGCTCACCGTTTGTTTCACAATTTGTTCTTTATAAACTTAAACTCTTAGGGTTTGTGTTTTGTTTCACTTGCTCACCATTTTTCACAGTTTGTTCTTTCCAAACTTAAACTTTTAGGGTTTGTGTTTTGTTTTTGTGCCTCCATTTAACATTGGCCCAAAATGCACCTTTACCAAAATGCGCACGGTCAGGGCTGGCAAGTTACAACCCATGTGTTTTAATAGAAAAACACTGGCTTAATACTTTAATATTTCCACCATGCTACCAAAATCAAAAGACCTGCAAGGTTCAAGGGTTCAAAGGGAAAGAGTTGACACTGTGATAAAGAAACCGTGTTTAATGATGTCACAAGTTGATGCCTGATAACTACAAAATGCTCATGGTGTGAAAAATGCCACCTTAACAGTGACATGAGACTACGACTACAACGACGACTACCACTACGACTATGCCTCAGCCTCAGTCAAAAATGATGCCTTAATGGTGTCACAATGATGCCTCAGTGGTGTCAAATAAGTGATGCCTTAATGGTGTCATAATGATGCCTTTATGGTGTCAAATAGGTGATGCCTCAATGGTGTCACAAAAGTGATGCCTTAATGGTGTCACAAGATTGATGCCTTATTGGTGTCAAAAAAGTGATGCCTTCATGGTGTCACAAACTTGATGCCTTACTGGTGTCAAAAAAGTGATGCCTTCATGGTGTCACAAAATTGATGCTTTACTGGTGCCAAAAAAGTGACGCCTTTATGGTGCCACAAACATTGATGCCATGATGGTGTCATGCATTCATGATGCTGTGACAGTGCCATGCAACAGTGAAGATTAAGATACCCACCAAGTCCATACCTCAGCATCGCGCGCTGTCAGGATGGAGTTTCTACCCCCTGGGCTTTACATGGGTATGGCCAAACAAAATGTTAGTTTTTGGGCCATTTTTTTGGGTTTGAAGGCTCCCAGGTTCAAAGCTAACAAACACCAGAAAGAACCATTCAAAGTCTTCAAGAATATTTTGTCTCATAGTTTTGGTCCCCATCTAAAACTAGCCATACAATACTGATTGGTTAGTGACAGTGAAGTGCCAAACCCCACAAAACATGTTTGCCCCTGGATGAAACAGACCCCCATGGCCGTTTTGTTTTTGGCACACCATCACGGCGCCAGTAAAAGACACCATCACGGCATCTTATCAATTTCATGGCTCCATCACGGCGCCAATACAAGACACCATCACGGCATCTTATCATTTTCATGGCACCATCACGGCGCCAATAAAAGACACCATCACGGCATCTTATCATTTTCGTGGCACCATCACGGCACCACAAGAAACCAGGTTTATAACCCCCATTCATAATAGATATGATTGTTATCTAGGATAAACATTAGTAAACAAATATATCTATATATAGTTTTAATAGATTAGGAATTACATACATGCCAGTATAAGACACCATCACGGCATCTTGTCACGGCGCTAGCAAAAGACACCATCACGGCATCTTGACCGAGGCCCGGATTCCTGCCTGAACTTCATGAAGCGCATGCAGTTGCGTTCCCTGGCCTTGGCCGGATGCAGCATGGTGCCAGGGGCCAGATCATGTGTTTCGGTGTATTTAGCATGAAACATGCAAGAACATGTATGACTCCATTCCACCCAACCGCTTGCTGGCTTTTTTTGCCACCGAGCTTTCAATCCGATGGAGGCATGCTGGGGATGAAAGATGTTGACAAAAACCACGTGGGTATGGCTCAAAATGTTGAATCTGACACATCCATTCCTCATGACATTCAATCATTTTGATGATGATTGCGAACTATGACCTTTCAAACTGCTAAACATCAATCTAGCAGGTTTGAACCGGAACATGTTTGAACTCAATCAATGCAAAACTGGTTTTATTTCGCTATCATGTCGTGTCAACAGATGGAATTAAGCACATAGGATGTTTTGCTCATATTTTCCTTAAAATTCAAACTTGCTTGACATAAAAACTAGTACATGCTGCTCGGCCACCATCAGATGTTGCAAAATGTTGCAAACAGGAAAAAATAGAATTATCCAGAAATAACCCGGAATATATTGGAGGATAACATGAACAAGCAATGGGTTAATTTCAGTTCAAACTGTTTGCAACACCTGATGGCGGCTACAGCTCCTGTGCGCTGGTTACAGCTTCTGTGCGTTGCCTGCCATGATCTGCCATGATGTCCTATGATGTGGTGTTTTTTGAATTGTTGATGTCTGCCTGTCTGTCTGTGTGTGTGTGTGTGGGTGTGTGTGTGTGTGCCTGCCTTTGTGCAGCGCAATTGCAACTTGAAAAAGATGATGGAGATAAACCCATTGGAAGTGGAGCGGCGCATGGCAGAGGCAATTCGGCACTTTGACGTTGAAGTTGCTCGACAGAGGGCGGCAAAAGGGCGGAAATTCCTTTTGGAACATCCTTCCAGCGCTTCATCATGGAACTTACCAAGTGTACTGCAGCTTTGTCAAGAGATTCCAGGGTGCCGCTTTTGTTGCGTTGCCCAATGCCGCTATGGGCTGAAATCTCCTGGAACTAAGGGGAATGAGAAAACTCACCAAGTTCCTGACGAACAGTGATGCCATCTACCAGGAGTTCTATGGCAAGAAATGCCTGTGCAAAAGCCAAGGCCTTGTACACCAAAACATCGAGGGTTCCATCAATGGTGTAAGTTTGAGCAAATTTGCTCAAATCTATCCAGCTCCGCTGGTACAAGCGGTAGTGTCATGCTGCCAGCGAGAGTTCTTGAACCCCTAAGACCAGGGTGAAAAGGCATCTCGTTGCCAGGATTGAGCACTCAATTGGTGCAGCCCTTTGTTCATGAAGAAAAAAGTCAAAGCGCTTGATTCATGTGGTGCTCCATGTTCAACGGATGTTGGAAAAAAACAATGGAGTTTGAAGAACAAGTTTTTCGACGGATTCCTGAACAAGAGGGAACCAAAAAAAACCGCCGGATTTTCTAGACGAAGGGCATGATGGATTTTCCGACGGATTTTGCAGAACAAGATTTCCGACGGATTTTTGAACGTAGAGGAAAAACAACCCGTCGGATTTTCTAGACGAAGGGCATGCTGGATTTTCAATGGACAGCCCACCATTGATTATCAACAAATCCTTGATGCTCAGGCTCTTGCGTGGGAGATCTGCAGAATAAAATTTTATTCAACGGATCTTTGTGCGGGACCTGAGATCCATGGGATTTGGCCCTGGCGGAGATTAGACGCAGACATCTGAGGATTATCAGGGCCCTGGGCCAAGATCTAAAGAATAAAATTTTATTCAACAGATCTCCCACGCAAGAGCCTGAGCATCAAGGATTTGTTGATAATCAATGGTGGGCCGTCCATTGAAAATCCAGCATGCCCTTCGTCTAGAAAATCCGACGGGTTGTTTTTCCTTTACGTTCAAAAATCCGTCGGAAATCTTGTTCTGCAAAATCCGTCGGAAAATCCATCATGCCCTTCGTCTAGAAAATCCGGCGGTTTTTTTTGGTTCCCTCTTGTTCAGGAATCCGTCGAAAAACTTGTTCTTCAAACTCCATTGTTTTTTTCCAACATCCGTTGAACATGGAGCACCACATGAATCAAGCGCTCTGACTTTTTTCCATGAACAAAGGGCTGCACCAATTGAGTGCTCAACCCTGGCAACGAGATGCCTTTTGACCCTGATCTTAGGGGTTCAAGAACTCTCGCTGGTAGCATGACACTACCGCTTGTACCAGCGGAGCTGGATAGATTTGAGCAAATTTGCTCAAACTCACACCATTGATGGAACCCTCGATTTTTTGGTGTACAAGGCCTTGGCTTCTGCACAGGCATTTCTTGCCATAGAACTCCTGGTAGATGGCATCACTGTTCGTCAGGAACTTGGTGAGTTTTCTCATTCCCATTAGTTCCAGGAGATTTCAGCCCATAGCGGCATTGGGCAACGCAACAAAAGCGGCACCCTGGAATCTCTTGACAAAGCTGCAGAACACTTGGTAAGTTCCATGATGAAGCGCTGGAAGGATGTTCCAAAAGGAATTTCCGCCCTTTTGCCGCCCTCTGTCGAGCAACTTCAACGTCAAAGTGCCGAATTGCCTCTGCCATGCGCCGCTCCACTTCCAATGGGTTTATCTCCATCATCTTTTTCAAGTTGCAATTGCGCTGCACAAAGGCAGGCACACACACACACACACCCACACACACACAGACAGACAGGCAGACATCAACAATTCAAAAGACACCACATCATAGGACATCATGGCAGATCATGGCAGGTAACGCACAGAAGCTGTAACCAGCGCACAGGAGCTGTAGCCGCCATCAGGTGTTGCAAACAGTTTGAACTGAAATTAACCCATTGCTTGTTCATGTTATCCTCCAATATATTCCGGGTTATTTCTGGATAATTCTATTTTTCTGTTTGCAACATTTTGCAACATCTGATGGTGGCCGAGCAGCGTGTACTAGTTTTTATGTCAAGCAAGTTTGAATTTTAAGGAAAATATGAGCAAAACATCCTATGTGCTTAATTCCATCTGTTGACACGACATGATAGCGAAATAAAACCAGTTTTACATTGATTGAGTTCCAACATGTTCCGGTTCAAACCTGCTAGACAAGTCTAGCCTGGGGAGATTGATGTTTAGCAGTTTGAAAGGTCATAGTTCGCAATCATCATCAAAATGATTGAATGTCATGAGGAATGGATGTGTCAGATTCAACATTTTGAGCCATACCCACTTGGTTTTTGTCAACATCTTTCATCCCCAGCATGCCTCCATCGGATTGAAAGCTCGGTGGCAAACAAGCCAGCAAGCGGTTGGGTGGAATGGAGCCATACATGTTCTTGCATGTTTCATGCTAAATACACCGAAACACACGATCTGGCCCATGGATTCCCTGGCACCATGCTGCATCCGGTCAAGGCCAGGGAACACAACTGCATGCGCTTCACGAAGTTCAGGCAGGAATCCGGGCCTCGGTCAAGATGCCGTGATGGTGTCTTTTGCTAGCGCCGTGACAAGATGCCGTGATGGTGTCTTATACTGGCATGCATGTAATTCCTAATCTATTAAAACTATATATAGATATATTTGTTCACTAATGTTTATCCTAGATAACAGTCATATCTATTATGAATGGGGGCTATAAACCTGGTTTCTTGTGGTGCCGTGATGCCATGAAAATGATAAGATGCCGTGATGGTGTCTTTTATTGGCGCCGTGATGGAGCCATGAAATTGATAAGATACCGTGATGGTGTCTTTTATTGGCGCCGTGATGGTGCCATGAAAATGATAAGATGCCGTGATGGTGTCTTTTACTGGCGCCGTGATGGTGCCAAAAACAAAACGGCCATGGGGGTCTGTTTCATCCAGGGGCAAACATGTTTTGTGGGGTTTGGCACTTCACTGTCACTAACCAATCAGTATAGTATGGATAGTTTTAGATGGGGACCAAAACTATGAGACAAAATATTCTTGAAGACTTTGAATGGTTCTTTCTGGTGTTTGTTAGCTTTGAACCTGGGAGCCTTCAAGCCCAGAAAAATGGCTCAAAAACTAACATTTTGTTTGGCCATACCCATGTAAAGCCCAGGGGGTAGAAACTCCATCCTGACAGCGCGCGATGCTGAGGTATGGACTTGGTGGGTATCTTAATCTTCACTGTTGCATGGCACTGTCACAGCATCATGAATGCATGACACCATCATGGCATCAATGTTTGTGGCACCATAAAGGCGTCACTTTTTTGACACCAGTAAAGCATCAATTTTGTGACACCATGAAGGCATCACTTTTTTGACACCAGTAAGGCATCAAGTTTGTGACACCATGAAGGCATCACTTTTTTGACACCAGTAAGGCATCAAGTTTGTGACACCATGAAGGCATCACTTTTTTGACACCAATAAGGCATCAATCTTGTGACACCATTAAGGCATCACTTTTGTGACACCATTGAGGCATCACCTATTTGACACCATAAAGGCATCATTATGACACCATTAAGGCATCACTTATTTGACACCACTGAGGCATCATTGTGACACCATTAAGGCATCATTTTTGACTGAGGCTGAGGCATAGTCGTAGTGGTAGTCGTCGTCGGAGTCGTAGTCTCATGTCACTGTTAAGGTGGCATTTTTCACACCATGAGCATTTTGTAGTTATCAGGCATCAACTTGTGACATCATTAAACACGGTTTCTTTATCACAGTGTCAACTCTTTCCCTTTGAACCCTTGAACCTTGCAGGTCTTTTGATTTTGGTAGCATGGTGGAAATATTAAAGTATTAAGCCAGTGTTTTTCTATTAAAACACATGGGTTGTAACTTGCCAGCCCTGACCGTGCGCATTTTGGTAAAGGTGCATTTTGGGCCAATGTTAAACGGAGGCACAAAAACAAAACACAAACCCTAAGAGTTTAAGTTTTTGGTAGCATGGTGGACATATTAAAGTATTAAGCCAGTGTTTTTGTATTAAAACACATGGGTTGTTACTTGCCAGCCCTGACCGTGCGCATTTTGGTAAAGGTGCATTTTGGGGCAATGTTGTATGGAGGCACAAAAACAAAGCACAAACCCTAAGAGTTTAAGTTTGGAAAGAACAAACTGTGAAAAAATGGTGAGCAAGTGAAACAAAACACAAACCCTAAGAGTTTAAGTTTATAAAGAACAAATCGTGAAACAAACGGTGAGCAAGTAAAACAAAACACAAACCCTAAGAGTTTAAGTTTAGAAAGAACAAATTGTGAAAAAATGGTGAGCAAGTAAAAACTTTTTGGTTTGATTCAAAGCCACATCTGAGGTTTTTTTAAAAAACTCAAAGACCTTTTACAACAACAAAAGCTTAGCAGTGATGGCCCGACGCCAATGGATGATGAAGATGTTGTTACCTTGCAGGTGCTGCTACGCATTGTCCTGGACTGTCAGCCTCGCGACGTCCAGGTGTGCGGTGTGGATAAGGTGCCTTTGGTTATCTACTCAGATGCCTCTTTTGAGCAAGGAGTCCTACGCCTGGGGTGGGTAGTGATGTGTCCGGGTACCTCCTACCAACCTCAGGGGGGGACCTGTGAGGTGCCACCAGAGGTCATAGATAGCTGGGTGCCTCGCCGCCAGCAGATTTATCCAGGCGAGGCCATTGTGGCCCTGGTCATTCCGGCTCTCTTGCCTGACCTACTACGAGGCCAGGATCTCCTGTGGTTCGTCGACAATGAGAGCGCGACCAGCACTTTGATCCGCTGTGTCTCATCTCAGTGTGATGTCCACGAGATAGCACAGTTCTCGCACTATCTGCTGAACAGTTTGGACGCCCGGGCGTGGTTTGAATGGATTGACTCCGAGTCTAATCCTAGTGATGGGCTGAGCAGATTAGGATTAGCAGATGAGTGGACACAAGCCCAGGGCTGGTCCCTCACCTCTTACACTTTTCCTCCTGGCCTCAGCCGCGGAGAATTTCTTCAGTCCCTTCAGGTTAGCGTGGTTTAGTGAACAGTGGGTGATATGAACAGTGGGTATGTGTTTGGACTCATGGTAGTCTAACCATACATGTGTTTAGACTGTTGAGTCTAACCATTTTCCAGATGTGTGTGGTGTAACCCCCCATCTGTGTTTTGACCCATTGTTATTTGATAACAATGAGGGGTTCACTACCATGCCGCTACTGGAGGTCTGGTATCTTCTCACGTGCAGCGTACTAGTTGAAGGAAAGTGAAAAGAGTGCTGCAGAAGGGTTCACACTTTCTATATATAATTATATATATATATATTATATCTCTCTGCATAGATATTTTCAGGACATCCTTGGCGCCTCGCTAGGAGTTGAAGGCGGTGAAGGCCGAAATCGAAGCGTTCAAGAGGGTTCGATGCCAAGAAAAAGGGAGGGATCAAAAGTTTTAAAAGAATGACAGCGATGTCAAAAAGGCGAAAAACACTCCGGGATATGTGAGATTTCATCTGGGATATTTCAGCAACAAGATGTTCATTAGATGTTAATGGGGATATATATATATACAATATATATATATACAATATAATTATATATATATAGTAACTATTGAATATATTAATGCAGATATTGAACCAACAATACTATATGACACTGAGGATTCAACTGGTCAAACAGGGAGAGTGCAGGGCATGGTTCAATACCTATGGTTTGTCCGATTGGGATGAGGGTTGAAGATTCACAATTACCAGCTACAAAAATGGCGGAAAAACTAGTTGATTCCAGGATAAACTGACCCATACTCATTTTCCTACCCAGGGTCGAACATATTAGATTTTGGGGCAGGCAATTTTCATCCCAAGTGATGCTGGAAGTCGTGGCGTCCCGGGTCTTGAGGCTTATGCACCTGGGACGATGAATCCCACCAGGCCAAAGCAGACCCAACGAATCCCATCCTGGTGCCTGGTGCCGGGCAGTCCGGGCAGACAATGGACTTTAAGATACTTGAAGAAACCCGAAACCCGATGGATTGCTAGCTTGGGGCCCCAATTGCTCTCACAGTTGGAACACATTTCGAAGACGGTGTTCGCGGTGACAGGCGATATGCAAGCGCCATCAAGACCTTTGTGTGCTGCTTGCAAGAGCTCCCAGGTGCTTTGCAGGTGACTCTTGAGCTACATGGGTTTAATGGGGAACATGATTCATGGATGGAATGGGGTGCCCTATTTTTGGACATGGTTTCACATGGATTCTTGACCGGAAAGTTGAATCACTATTTTTGAGTCATACCCACCTGTCATTGTTTCGACATGGGTAAGAGGTCTTTGATCTCGACTATCTCTGATCTTCTTGATGGTTTTCACACCAAAATAGCTGGAGAATGGGTGTCACCCATCCCTTCCATGACGGCATTGCGATGTTGAAACCCATCCACCAATCCCCGTCCTTGAGGGTTGAATCCCATGAAAGAATGTGACGGCCCCTGGTTGGTCAAACATGGCCAAATCGTAGCGGTACTGAGGCTCTACCAGCCAGTGTTTCCATTGATTTCGCTGGTGGGTCTTGCTGGCTTAGGCAAGGGGTGCCGATGATTGGCTTGATTCGTTGCCGCAATAGCTGAACTCCGTGTTGATGCTCACAGGGACACGTACTCAAAAAACCTTGCTGCGGATTCCGTGATCGTTTCCAAATTGATCTGCATCCTGGCGAGGCGCACAGTACTGGATGGACAAGTATCTGCTCCTGGGGTGGTATTCCAGGTGAGGAGTGCCACGCTGCGAGAGGGTGAAGATGTCTTGTGATGGCCATTGGATTTCCACCATGTTTTGCAACGAGGCCGCGAAGACCTTTGAATGCAGACATTGCCAACTTCTTCGTTAGGCAAGGGAGCCAAGATGCTCCAAGATGCTCCAAGATGCTCCAAGTTGCGGTTTGGAGGTGTATAGTCTTGCGATGTTTTGCGATGAATTTCTAGTTTCATGTTTGGTTTTGAACAGTTTGACTAATGAGCACCGCTGCACCTTTTCTTCGCGTGCTTTGTGCCAGAAGCTGCAGTTCACAGTCAGTTCAACCCAGGATGAATCCCTTTGTTTTCTGCAGAAATCACCACTTTGGGAACCATCATGGACCATCCCATCCAAAAATCACCAAAGGTTCGTGAAGCTGGTGGGGCCCATTGGGCTCTCGGTGTCCTTCTTCGTGTTTTTGACGCCTTCTTTTGCTGACAAGGTGGGTCGGCAGATGACGGGCAGTGTCTTTTGTTCCGAAGTAATATGCTCTTGGACACCTCCACAACTCCAACATCAAAAGAGCAAACACTTTTAAAATTCATACAAGAAAACCGCTCTAAACAAGATGGTGTAAATAAGGCAGCATCGTATCCTATTATTAATCCTTTAATATGTTCTGTTAAAACATCTAAATTACGTATATTCACAATATAAGCATCTAAATGCTGAAGTTCTTTTTGTGCCTGATTTATATATCTGGAATCTGTAATTATTATTTTTTCTTTTGTAATTAAAGCGTATCCATGCGAGCCGCAAAACCCTGTTGCATATTCTAATCTCCTTGCAAATGCAGGGCAAAATTCGCTCTGATACTGGTCAAAAGACGGTATAAAGTACCCATCAATTTTGTATTGGGTGTAAAAAGACCTTATTAAATCAATCCGTTCTCGGATAAAATTTCTTGCCATTGTACTAAAACCTCCACCATCATCCTGCTAAAGTTGACATTTTTGCTGTCCAAAAACACATACTGCTTGAATATGTTTGATTCTCAAATCTATTTGTCTGTCAGTAGATCCCCAAACAATCAAACACATAGTGCTTAAATCCTTATATTTATTTTTACTGGTAAAATCAGAATTTTTATTTTTGCTTCGGCTCGGTAAATTCCACATTTTTCTGACACCCGATTGACATCCTCCCATCGCGCCAGAACGCCGTGGGAATCTCAGCGCCAGCGAAGGGTCGTTCCCAGCGCCAGGACCGATTGCTGTGAAGTTTGGAAAATTGGAAGATGAAACTTGATGACTTTATGATCAATATTGATCAACAATATATTTTAGTGATGATGATATTTCTATATATTTCTCAATGTTGTGCTATGATATTTGTATGATATGTTTGATTTGTTGCATTTTATGGCTATGAACTCAGGAAGCATCTGCTTTTTTTTTTAAAAAAATATCGCCAAGGTGCTGGGTCAGTTCATCATCTGCATCGTTACTTCTGCCATCTTCTCGTGCGCCCCAAGATGTGGAGCATGGGATGCTATAGACACAGTTGGGTGGATGATGGGTATTATGGTGTATACTATATAAAGTATCACTATTCGTAATCATTATTACTATTACTGTATGATTATTATTCAGTCATAGAATTAAAGGTTGTTATTTTTAAAAATTAATGAACAGCATTGCTTATGGTTGTCATCATCATTTATTCTATTTCGTTATAGTTTCTATTATATAAAATGCCTTAATGGCGAATATTATATATATATTTCAAGAGCTTTCAATCGGGATGACAATCTTGAATTATAGATGGAAGCAGCCATGAAACTGGTCGGAGTAGTGTGTTCTATGTGTTCTAGTAAGTGCTAATGGGGATTATGGCTTAATCAGGTTTAATCAAACAACCAGTAGCGGGCTCAACCAAGGCTGGTCTTCCCCCTTTCGGTGTGGATGCGCCGCTTGGCAGAGATCATGAAAAATGCTTCGGACCAGATTTTGTCGGGTGATTTTGGACAATCATCTGCCCCAAATTTGGAAGGGTAATTATTACTCGTACTGAGTTTACCAGATTACAAAGGATTTCAGCTGTGGACTTTGGAGAACATGTGAACCTCCTTTTCGAGTCATTGTTCCCTCCGACTCGGTGATGTCTCCTCCAGCACAAGGATGTTGGCTGAGTATGCCTTGCCGTGAAGATTTCAAAGTACAAGAACACGAGGATGATTACTACCAGGTTGGCACGATATGATCAGATGTGGATGCATCTTGGGTCCATGGTATAGGCTACTAGTCCACCAGTCTTGGATTTTACCCTCAGGCCAAAAAGCCAAGTCATAGGTAGGCAGATTTGATTGGATCAGATCTCAACAGGTGGTTTTTGCAGTGTATTGACACCAGTTCTGCAGACATATCCGCAGCCAGAATTTGGAAGTAAGATGGTGATGACAGGGGTGTGACCTTGCTGCTGCTGCTGCTGATGATGATGATGATGATGGCCATGAAGACAAGCGATTCCAATGGCCACTCACTGTCATGGACAATGACAGCCAGGATGTGAACAAGACCAGCCAAGTGATTAAGTGCACCTGGGGATGTTGTGGGCATAGCGGCTCCCTGGGAGGCACAGTACATGTGGTCAAAAGAGATGAAGTATCACAAGGTGCTGGGATTGGCCGCGCTGGGGAAAAAAGGGAGGTCAGGTTGGTGGAAACACTTTGCAGTGCTCACAGGCTATTTTGATGATCACTAGGGATACCCTTGGACTCAGCTGTTGACAAGTCGAGTGGAAGGGAGTGGAAGCGTGTGCTGAAACTTCTCTGCCTCTCACACATTCTCAGACCACCTTTCCTCGCAGGATCAGTTCATCTACAAGAACCTACCTGAGGACTTTGACTGTGGCAGCGGTTGCTGGATGGTTTTGGCAATGGTCCCACATTACACCCAATGTCACCGTGACTTTGTGGATGAAACACCCAACAGAGGTAGGGTCCTGGTTCTGGTACCTGGCCATTCGCAGGACAAGAACCCAGAGTTCTTGAAACCAGGTGAGAGCACCGCCGTAAGTGCCACAGACATGAAGGCAGGGACAAGATGAGGCTTGAGAGGGTTCACAGCCACCAAGAAAGGAACCAAGAAAAGAACACACTGCTGAAGAATAGTGCTTTGCCCTATGTGGTATCTGATCAAATGCTTGTTTCTTTGAGGCTCAGTTCAGCTTGGTGATTCGTTCGGGTGTTGGAGATTGGAGCCCCACTGTGGGCAAAATAGATATGCTTTTTGCCTTATGCTGCAATGGTTGGTTGATTCATAGAATGGGTTCTGTATTCTGCCTGTCTTTCACAACAGCTTCAGCTGAATCTTGATGCCGTTTGATACACATTTATTGATCTCCCAATTGTTCTGCTGTACAGCTTGATGTATATAATAGTTTATTTTAATAGACGGTTTTAGCCCACCAAATGATGGTAAATCCAATTGCTTGTGGTTAAATATTGGTACTTAGAAGGTTTCCCACCAATAAGTAAGTGTCCATGCATATCCAGAAATAGCAATGAATATCAACGAATATGCGATAATTTCATTTATTTTGGGTGCCTTCAACAATTGTAAATCTATCTCGTTGAATATCTCTATATCCATATTTCTCAGGAATTACCTCTATATCTATATCTGTATCTATATCATTCCTGGTTGGTGGTTTGGAACATTTTTTATTTTTCCACATATTGGGAATGTCATCATCCCAACTGACGAGCATATTTTTCAGAGGGGTAGGTATACCACCAACCAGATCATCATTAATCATCATGAATCACCATTATTATGATCATGATTAACCATTATTAACCATCGTTTAATCATGATGTACAATTGTTTCTATATCATCATTAATCATCATTAACCATATAATAACCATTCATATTAACCATATGAATAGTATGTTACCAACCAATGGGTTCTGTTTAATCATGATATACCATTGTTTCTATATATTAACCATTATTAACCATTATTGTACCATTATTAACCATTATTAACCATTATTATACCATTATTATACCATTATTAACCACTATTATACCATTGTTATACCATTATTATACCATTGTTATACCATTATTATACCATTGTTATACCATTATTATACCATTGTTATACCATTATTATAACCATTGTTATACCATTATTATACCATTGTTATACCATTATTATACTATTGTTATACCATTATTATACCATTGTTTACCATTACTATATACCATTGTTATACCATTATTATACCATTGTTATACCATTATTATACCATTGTTATACCATTATTATACCATTGTTATACCATTATTATACCATTGTTATACCATTATTATAACCATTGTTATACCATTATTATACCATTGTTATACCATTATTATACCATTGTTATACCATTATTATACCATTGTTATACCATTATTATACCATTGTTATACCATTATTATACCATTGTTATACCATTATTATACCATTGTTATACCATTATTATAACCATTGTTATACCATTATTATACCATTGTTATACCATTATTATACCATTGTTATACCATTGTTATACCATTATTATACCATTGTTATACCATTATTATACCATTGTTATACCATTATTATACCATTGTTATACCATTATTATACCATTGTTATACCATTATTATACCATTGTTATACCATTGTTATACCATTTATACCATTATTATACCATTGTTATACCATTATTATACCATTGTTATACCATTATTATACCATTGTTATACCATTATTATAACCATTGTTATACCATTATTATACCATTGTTATACCATTATTATACCACCATTGTTATACCATTATTATACCATTGTTATACCATTATTATACCATTGTTATACCATTATTATACCATTGTTATACCATTATTATACCATTGTTATACCATTATTATACCCATTGTTATACCATTATTATACCATTGTTATACCATTATTATACCATTGTTATACCATTATTATACCATTGTTATACCATTATTATACCATTGTTATACCATTATTATACCATTGTTATACCATTATTACAACCATTGTTATACCATTGTTATACCATTATTATACCATTGTTATACCATTATTATACCATTGTTATACCATTATTATAACCATTGTTATACCATTATTTTAACCATTGTTATACCATTATTATAACCATTGTTATACCATTATTATACCATTGTTATACCATTATTATAACCATTGTTATACCATTATTATAACCATTGTTATACCATTATTATACCATTGTTATACCATTATTATACCATTGTTATACCATTATTATACCATTGTTATACCATTATTATACCATTGTTATACCATTATTATACCATTGTTATACCATTATTATACCATTGTTATACCATTATTATACCATTGTTATACCATTATTATACCATTGTTATACCATTATTATACCATTGTTATACCATTATTATAACCATTGTTATACCATTATTATACCATTGTTATACCATTATTATACCATTGTTATACCATTATTATACCATTGTTATACCATTATAACCATTGTTATACCATTATTATACCATTGTTATACCATTATTATAACCATTGTTATACCATTATTATACCATTGTTATACCATTATTATACCATTGTTATACCATTATTATACCATTGTTATACCATTATTATACCATTGTTATATCATTATTATAACCATGATATACCATATCAACATCTATGGGTTCCACCAGGATATACCGTCTCTTCGAAGGCCACCTTCGGCGTCTCCGCCGGCGCCGTGGCCGACGACGCGGCGGACGGCCCGGCGAAGATCGCGCTGAAGGGCGGTCGTGGCTCGGCGATGATTAGTTTCTTTTTCATCAACGGTTATCCTCAATAGTTATCACCAATAGTTATCATATCCATCATTTTTTTTTTTTTCTCTCTCTCTATATATATATATGTATATGTTGTTTAATTCAAGAGTTATCATCCCCATGTTACTGTATATATTATATTGATGATAATTCTATCAGGGGATGATGATAGCAACTACAATCTGTTACTATGATGATATAGTTACTAAAGTAATTGTGACGACAATCGGTAACTATAAGTACTATAATCCTACCAGTTATTAAAGACATTACAACTATAGTAACTATAATTATACTGGGGATAATGATTGTAACTTTGATGATAATTATTGCCATATACTCCCATTATACAACTGTTAGTTGGATAACGGGGATTTCATGGGATATATATTTAGGGGATATATAGCCAACTACCTGCCAGTAGTCAAACATGATTATAGCCATAGCATTAGCGACCATGATACCATAATCATACAGCCATAATAGTTTTAACTACAATGGAGATTATTAGTAACTATAATAGTTGTAACTGTGATGGGGATAGCTATAATAGTACCTTTAGTAACTATAGCATTCGAACGGGGATTATAGTCCATTGTATGGTTGGAGAAGGATATTTTAGGGGATATGTAACCAACTACCCTCCAGTGATCAAACATAGCTAGCTGGGACATCATTACAGCCAAGTACAACGTGGACAATTGTGTTTACATATATATATATATATGTATATATATATGTATATATATATGTACACCGTAAGTACCCTTGTATAATGGTTTATAATGGTTGGAAACGCGCTTTTTAATTATCATTATGATAATGGTATATCCATCCCCCCAAACAATGGCTACTACTATATGTATAAACACTATATACCATGGTAGTTGGGGGGATGGTAATAAGATGGTCATATCTCCATTGTTGTGTAATAAGGAACAACTGACAGCTTGACCAAAAGTATATGTGCTAGCAATGATATGCCTGGGGCTGGTCATAACAGCAGTACTTGATAGGAACTCGTCAATGGCACATCGTATAGTATATGATACACATCTATACCTATGCATGTACATACAAAATTGTATATCATAGGGTGTGTGAAGGTATGAAACCAACCATGTATTTCCAACAATCTGGCACATATGTATATATACATATTCGTATATATATATGTATACATATCAAGCAGAAAATTGACACATGGTAAACAGCGACACAATGGGTATCTAAAACCAACACGAGCATATAATGGACTATTATACGGATGTTATGGGCTAGCCACCAGCAATATGGTATATAGCCAGCCATCATGGGTATAAGAACCAACGAAAATAGGGTTTATGTGGATATATATATATATATATATCTGAAAATTTATATTAGATCATCTATAGATCTAATATCATATTCAAACATATATATATACACATATGTCTTGCATTCTTTTGCAAACACATTTGCAAACAATGGGTAGTGGATGGCAATGGAAGATATGATAGCCAAATCTTGCAGAACAGATTGACATCCATAGAGTTCATCACCTAGACTTTAACTGAAAACAGAATAAGGAATTGCGAACCTGGATTTTTTTTTGTTGTTGTTGATGTTGTTGGGAATCAATCTGAAGAAGATGATGTCGTCTTACCTGGTCTCCAATTGTTTTGCGTAGCATGTCTTTGCAGTAGTTTCAAAACCAAAGGTATCATTGTCATGCGAAGCAGTTGTCATAGAGGGGTTTCAGACTTCGACTTCGGTTTCTGCAAAAAGAAGTACATCTAGTATAATCCACTGGTTTAACCATCATTTTTTCCACTATATTTCCCACATTTTTCCATCTT